TTTGATAGGTACGCATGGCAAGATAGCCATCGCTGGATATTGCAATTGGTAATGCTCAGTTTGTAGGGTCCTGATTTCAACAACTGAAAAGCCCTTTTGCAGTTCATAGCTTTTGCATTTTAGAATAAGCAGTTTCACTTGGAAACTGCAAAGAACATGCACCATCGAATAGCTTTGAATTGAAGATATATAAAAAAGGTGGCAATTCCAAGTCTACTATTTAAAATATTATCTTTAATACCAATGCAATCCACAAGAACATCTGTAGTTGAAGTGGCCCAATTTTGGTATCTAAAAGGCTTCTTTACCCGTTTGAACCTATAATCTCCCCAAACATAATTGAGCCACGTGGCCTCTCATTAAAAAAAATAAAAAAAAATTATTGGTACAAATTTAATTTAACATATTTTTTTAATACTATGTCAATTTAATTATTAAAATATAATATAAATACAATTAATTATGTCAGTTCTTACGTCATATATACATGGTTGCATTTTTAATTATGTCTGTTTTTAATTCTGATAAAAAATTAATAATTTTTAAATAAATATGTTGTATAATTTGTTAAATCAGATTGTGTATCAATCATTATCTAAAAAATTATGCAATACACTGAATTCTAACCACATATTCAATAGAAAGAACGGTGAATTGTTTGTATTGCCAACATTGGTAGACTTTTTAAAAATTTTACTTAAAACGAAATTGAAACACCAATTGCAAGAGATATCTAAGCCCAACCCATACGCTCAACAATGCCAAATATAATGGAGTACCAGTACACAAATTCAGCGAGAGTGCTCCATTGTGGCTTTCAGTAAATGATACACTTTCATTGGTTTGGGAACATGGAAAAACATGGCCAAATGAGTCAAATTGGTGCTCCTTCAAGGACTTTATTTGATGAAATGACAAACAATATTAGTGCTTGACTAGGGTCTAGCACTCTAGCTCTCTTCCCTACCCTAACCATCATAAAGGCCACTGAGAAGGGCTATGGGTGGACAAGTTTATTCTGAGAAGATACTTCTTCAATCAAACAACATTTGTCACATAATATGAATTTTCTTCTTTATTGTAATCATGGTTCGGATGGGAAATGTTATTAACAACGTATGCTTTTGAAGTACATTTCCATCTCCAACTGAGGTCAACTTTAGGGAGGGGTCTTTGAGACATCCATTATGAGTACATTTCCTTCTCCAACTTAGGTCAACTTTAGGGAGGGGCTTTGAGACATCCATTATGAGTTTTCATATTTCTTATGTCATCACAACTTAATGGTGGAAGCACTAATTAAAATGCCTGGACTTCAATTTAATTGGCCTATGCTTGGTGTAATACATAGGGAAGGCCACAAAGATCACTCAAAATGATTTACATCACTCAAGATTCTTCTAGGATAATTTTATAGATTAGGTAATTATTCTTAATAGTATATTAGATGATAAATTATGCAATAAAATAGTACACATCTTCATTCATCTGTCAAGATTCGAACTTTGATATCTTTAATTTAAAATTTCAAACTCTTAACAACTCGAGACACGAATATCTTTGGTGCCATATATATAAATTAGGTAATGATCATAATGCTTGGAATTATTTTTATTATCAATAATAAGTGGAAAGCTAAACTAATGTAAAAACAAATTAAGAAAAAGAGACATGAGGACCTTAGCATTTTGACATGTACATGATTGAAGAAGGATGAAAAGATATGTAAATTTCTAAGGGGAATCATCAGAAGAAGTAGAAAGTGCAGCTTTGTCTTCATTTGCAATTGATGCTCATTGATCCAATCTCTTATTAATTAAATTCTCTGATTATGATTGCAGATGCAATTATATATTTTGATTATTATTTTTTTATCTTTTTTACTTTTTCAGTTTATAAAATTTAGAACTCAAAATATGTACCTTTGTATTTGAAAGAATAAGGTTGCACAATTAGTGGCTATTGTGGTTCGGGGAGTTGCTTTCACCTTAATATGTTGTGACCTTGTTTTCATGCCATAGAAAAAGTAGTGCTCTCTTTTCGTTCCAATACATGAAACAGTTTTAAAATGAATTAGAATTAACTTACACCAATATAAGTGTTATTATATATTATTTATAATTTTTTTATAAATAGATTTAAAGTACCCTTTATATTC